TACAAGGCTCAAGCGTGACTCTGACCAGGGTCCAAGTTTCAACAAGCCGCATCTCTCCTTGGGAACGCCTCTACCCACACACCCAAACCACAGGAGAATGGAGAATCCGGAGGTAACAAACACAGTTTTCATTTCCTGCCACTCCTGAGACCACCACAGGCCCTGAGTCTAAGGGATTCTTCGAAGCGGCTAAAACACAGCAGGGTTGGGCACCACCTGCGCCCTGTTCACAGCCCCTGCCCTGGTGTCAGGAAAAATCAGACTCAGAACCTAGGACAAGCCTGTCTTTAATCTTGTTTAGGAAGGAACGTAGCTGTGATATGAGAGATTTAATAAGGTTAGAAATCAGGAAGGAAGTGGAGTGGGAATAGATTATCAAGAGAAATAAAGGCAGCCGCCAGAGCACACAGATATTAAATATCAGGCTTCCAAACCAAATATATATAATCCACTTAGGGACTTCAGGGTGGTGTTCAGAGGCACATTTACCCAAAGCCTATAGTTCAACATCTGACATTATAACTGCATCTGTCATCATTCTGTGCCATCACGGTGGGTTCCCGAATGATCATCACCCGGAAAGAGAGCACATGGCCGTCTCTTGGCTATACCACTTTCATGGTCCTGACGTGCTCCTAACCCACCGTGGCCTCAGCTAGTAACGCCCATCGGAAGCAGGGCCCACTGACCGCAGGCTGCCACTTAGCAGGTGAGCTACCAGCAACACATGCAGAGTGGCCCCGGGATGCTGATGCCTCTCCTGAGTCCTGGCTGAGGTGTGGACCCCCTGTCCACCACACCGTCTGTCAGTCAACAGCCATGCTAGAGGTGTAGTTATAACTGCGCGTCCCGTAGGTGTGGATTTCTGAGCTGGTGGGGGGGCAGGAAAAGCTCACGACCAACAACGTCCGGAGCGTGGACAGAGGAGCCAGAATGACTCACGGAGCCAGCTGAAACCCAGCACCCAGTCATGCCCCGGCCCCACTTACAGACTAGAAAATAGACCTTCAGGGCTGGGAAGGTGGCTCAGTGGTAGAGCGCTTGCCTTGCATGCCTGAGGCCCTGGGTTCGATTCCTCAGCACCATATAAGCAAAAAGAAAAAAGCCGGAAGTGGCGCTGTGGCTCGTGGTAGAGTGCTAGCCTTGAGCTGAAGAGCTGAGGGACAGTGCCCAGGCCCAGAGTTCAGGCCCCACGACTGGACCCCCCCAAAAAAAACAAAAACAAAAAAAATACACCTTCAGGGCAGAGCACTTGGAGGAGTGTGTGGACTATGCACAACTCAAGGTGCCAGTATAGAACCCAAGGGAGAAGATCAGCCAGGCTCTGGCATCCAGCTCACACGAGGGGCCTCGGATACCACCTCCTGCTAGCACCTGCTCGGTGTAAAGCCCTCCAGGGGCCTTATCACTCCTCAACCCCTGAGGGCTGCACTTGTGACAATTAAACTCTCTGGCCTCCGCTTCTGGCTACAGCACAGAGTAAACGCCAGCTCCTACACATCATTCATGTGCTTAGGACAGCAGGGCCAGAGTCCCTCCTAGGATGTCCTCACTCCATGCCCCAAGCTGAGGGAGGCTCCTGGGGTCTTCTGCTGCCTACACATCCACTAGCGTTCTCTGCGGGACGCCAGCGGCTGTTTCCAGCCTGTGCGCCTCTGTGCTTACCAAAGAGCCCTCTCAGCAACTACTGCCTGTCTGGTGTCCATGCCCCTTAGAGCCATGGGGGCTGAGACAGGAGTCACACAAGGCCCGTGAGGACATCCCCGGACTCAAGGATCCAGGCACTAGGAAAGGGCCCTCTCTCCAATAAAGATCCTGCCCCTGGCCCACCTGGTTCTGGACTCCTTGGCCTTCCTTATCTCCCCTACCTGATCCCTTCTTCTGAGTGTCTGGGCTCAGATGTCACCTTGGAGGTGCATTGGTCACTCCTGCCCCACCTGGGAGCTGCACCTTCAGAAGCATACTGTGCTGTGCACATGGAGACATGGGCTGCTTCCTGAGGAACCACAGACCCCACTGGGACTGCAAGAGGAGCAAAGCCCACACTGCAGGGGCCTTTGCCCTAGCTGCTGAGCCCACCTGTCCACCTGTGTCCACGCAGCTAGCAGTGCCTAGAATCTTGTGTACCTGGAAAGAACAAGAGTCTATTGGAAGTGTGACTGATGAGTCCTGCTTAAAAGCAGAGAAGACAGATTCCGAGAGGACCCTAATCAGACAGAGAGCTCCCTCTGGGAGAGGTGGTTAGGAGGAAGGTGAGGGGAGCTGGCCGAGAGGGAGGGGTCAGGGTAGAGGCTGCTCAGCCTGTCTATCCCAACATAACTATCAGCAATCCCGGAGGTCAAGGGCCTACGTCTGCGCTCAATGTCCTAGTCTCTGTCCAGGCCACAGGCACCACTCTGATCCAGTTCTACAGATGGGAGACAGAGGCACCCGTGGGTCTGCTCTTGGGAGCCTTTCAAGCCTGAGAGCAAGAGCATCACCTGGTGGGTGTCTGCAGATGGGCTGCAAACAGACAGACATCTTGGAGGCTGGCCAGACAGCACCTGGCTGGGCCACTCAGACTGAAAGCCCAGCAGGCTGACTGATGAGCTCCATACATTTTTTTTCCCACACATTTTTTTAAACCCACATTTTTCCCAATAAAAGAGCCGTCAGCTACCCTCTCGGAGGGGCCATCTGAGCCTGCTGGTTCGGCTCCCGTTTCCTTCAGTGACTGTGGCAGGGCGGGGGGAAGGGCGGGGGCCCCCACGGCTCTGGGCTGGGTGATGGGGAGATCTGCTGGGCAGGTGCGGGGAAGAGGCTTCCTATCCATCTTTCTATTTGAAGGCCCCAGAGTGTCTGTATATTAGCCAGAGCAGAACCAAGAAGATCCTCAGGGTGGGGTGGCCTGGAAGGTACAGGCAGCCTTGCCCCTAGCTAAGACCCTGTCACCTGTGGGCGGGAAGGGGAGGAGTGCAGCCGCCCTGCCCAGGTGGGTCTCCAGCTCCACCTCACGTCACAGGGCTGTCCCTGTGCCAGGGCCCCTGCACGCTTGAGCTTTCTGCCCAACTTCAGGTCCAGACACTGTCACCAAGGCCTTGTCCACTGTTAGCTTCTCTTGGGCCATTGTGTGCCAAGGAATACAAGAAATCAGCTGGCCTGCATGTAAAGTATGAGTTCCTCCAAGGTCCACATAAGCTCAGGCTGTCCTGTGTCGGAGGGCCCCTACCCCTTCCAGCCTGTTTCCTCTCCTGACAGAGCCCACAGAGGAGTCTGCCGTCAGAGGCCAGCTCAGATCTCACCACGGCCCTCACTGACAGGGGACGCTGAAGCATGGAGGAAGCTGTCTGGCCACCCTCTAGGCCTCTGCTCATCTCCCTGCTTTTCCTCCTGGAGGTCTTTGAAGGAAGGCTGGCTCTCCCACCTGTCTTGACTGCTGTTCCTCCACGCAGCCAGGAGCCCAGGAGGCCCCTCCGCATGCACGGGCACGTCTGCCAGCCCTGGAGACAGGCAGGGCGCGGTCCCGACATTCTCCCTGGGACTGCAAGGAGTGAGCCCACAGGACACACGCAGCACTTCCCCAGAGCATTCCTGAGCCTCCTAAAAGGAGGGGACCACAGCACCCAGGCATAGTCCTGGGCTCAGGACCGGACAGCGAGCCGAGGGCTGCTGCGTGCAGGAGTGCACCCTTGCTACCTGTCTCCACAGGGTGGTGGCTTGGCTTCTAGGAGACCTCTAGAAGCCAGTGGGTATGCAGGAGTCACTGAGCCCTCCGCACCTGCCTCCTGTCTGCTCTCTTCAGAGCCTCTCTCTTTCTCCCTCTTTCCCTCCCTCCCTGCCCCCAGCTGCACAGAGCATACGCTCTGAAAATTGGTTTTAAATGGAAAGAAGTGCTGAGGGACCTGCTGGCTCAGCACCTCCTAGGTACGTGTGATCTAGTCTCATTAACACGGTCAGGACAGGGACCCACCTGCTGGGCCGCGAGCCCTGTCCAAGCGCCTCAGGCGGCAGCGGAGGCCGCCAGGGGGAGCGCTGGGCACTGGCTGTGGGTAGCAGGGGCCACAGCTCAGGACTCGATGGCTCCCCGCTGGCAGAGGGCCTCCAGGGCTGGGTCCCTGATACTTCCCGCCAGAGGGTGACAGCACAGGACACACAGCTCCCTTCCCTGGGACTGGATGGGCCACAGTCCCTGCATTGCCAGGGTACCTGTTCTTGGGCAACTTAGACTCCCTGAATTTTCCCAAACCCAAGCCCACCGGGTCACCCTGTGTTTGTCCTACAAGACCTCCATTGTGGCAGTTCCTGCCCAGGTCAGACATGTGACTACAAGCATGCCATACACCTTAGCACAACACATAGACCTCTGTTTATGACAGTTTTCATCAAACAAAAGCCAGTGTCCAGCTTCTGACCCTCTCCTGTACCCATGGCTGTGTCCCCCTTCCTGCCAGAGGACACTGCATGCACTCAGGTCACTGCACTCCGGCCCCTCCTTTGCAGAGAGCACCAGCCAGAACCCATGCCAGGCTGCCCCGGCTGCCCCGGCTGCCCTGGGTGTGACCTCCAGGGGGTGCTCACCTCCCCACCCGAAGGGCTCAGGAATCCAAGAAGCTGTAACCCCGGCAGGTCACCTTGACAGTGACCTGAAAGGCAGAGGGCCTATCGTGACCCACAGGTTACCCTCTCCAAGTCTCTATTCGTTCATTCTGGAAGCTCCTGCAGCTGCCTGGCCAAGCCCCATCCTCTACCCAGGCAGGTGGGGCCCGTCTCGGCGCTCTTGGAGGACTCTTGAGGGAACCGTTGGGAAGCCTGGGCGTTTGCCAATGGCACACGCCTTCTATCATGTGAGTCCCCGACACCGGAGGAGCCACAACTCCCACACCACCCCTCTGACAGGGGAACCCCACGTATTCTGGGTCTTTCTGCAGGGCCCCCAGGGCTCACGCTTGCTCTGGTCAGGGTGGAGGGAGGCACAGGGAGCCCAGGAGAACCCATGAGGGGGGAGGAAAGAGTCAGCTCACCTTGTCGTCCACACCGCTCTCGCTGTCACACTGCAGGGAAGACAAAGAGAAAGGGGTGAGCAGGCCACTTCACACCACAGGAGACGCGCCGCTCCTCAGCTGGGCCCCTCACAGATTCCTGGAGAGGCAAACGCTAGCAAGCTGAGCGGGGGGATGCACAAAGGGACGCCAGCGGCCATATTGCCTCCGATGGGCCAGGGAAAAGGCTGTAGTGGCCAGGATCTGGAAGGCACAGCTGCCGTGACCCGGATGGCCCTGCGGGCCCCTCTGGCGTGGGCGCCCCAGCTCCAGGAGAGGGCAGCGTGGCGATGGGCCCACGGAAGGCTGATGAGAGGCACTGCCGCCCTCAGAGCCCTTGCTCCTTCTTCTGTTCTCAGATTGAGGCTCCTCTGGGGGGAAGGTGAGTGTGGAGGACGAAGGCAGCCTGACCCACAGTGCTGGGGTGGAAGCAGTGCTCTCAGAGGGTCTGTCTGCATGCCAGTGGTTAGTGCAAGATCACAACAATGGATAAAAACCATTTTTGTTTTCCATTTTCAGTAAGCAGAGCCTTGGAAAGGACACAGTGCTAGAGGAACAATGAAATTTCCCCTAAAGGAATGAAAAGAAAAAAAAAACCCTTCCCAGCAACTGCAATTATGATACATTCATGTCAAATGAATTATATTGCTGGAAATAAATCTCTCCAAGATGCACAAGAGGGTGATCCGGCTCCAGTCAGACGTGTACACTGCTGGTTTTATATGTTGTACTCTACTTGATTAATACAGGTAATCAAATTATACTACCTTCCACTAGGCCCCCAAATTGAAGGCTATAATGTTTTCAATGACAAAGTTCACAGAGTTGTATAAAAATGCACTTTGCCAGCTACTCACTGCAGCCAGACGCACCATTTCCAGTTCGGCTAACAATAGCATGTGAAGCAGCTGGGCCAGGAGCAAGGCCACAGCCTTGCACCAAGCTCTGGCTGCTATAGGTGGCAGGGGTCTTTCCTGGCCATACTCTTGGCCAAACCCCTCCCAGGAAGCTGATAAAAAAGCAGCACTGTCCGGCAGGTCCCTGCCCTAGCCTGGCTCTGTGTCCCTCTGTTACCCTGAATTGCAGGGCTCATGGAAGGTGCCCTGGGTCCCTCAATCTGTGTGAATGGTAAGACTTGGTAGAACAGCATGTGGGTGGGCTGGGGTAGTAGAGAAAGGGGCTCGGGAGCCCAGAAGGAAGGCAGCAGGGCAGAGACAAAGGGGCTGCGATGTACCAGACAGGTGTGCATGCGGGGAGGTGACCCCTCAGGAGGGGTATGCAACCGGCGAGGTGAGGGGGCAGGCGGCTTGTGGGAGAGATACTGGGGGAAGGGGCTGTTGGCTGCTCTATCTGATCTGACCCTCGGGATTCTGGGACCCCAGCTGAGGCCAACTGAAGCATCTCTGCTTAATGAGAGCTTTTTTATGGACACTGAAGCCCCACTAACCTGCCAGGATGGAGACTGCCAGTCATCTGGGTGCCTGGAGCCAGTGCTCAGCCCTTGAGTCCTGCCTCAGCCATGGCTGTACCAGGACCCCATGAACTAGCAGAAGGACACACAGACCCAGACCAGAAACACACCCGTGACTTCTGAGTCCAAGGCTGGAGCAGCTGGGACAGGCAGCTTAAAGAGGCTGTTCAACATACATCAACAAGGGAGCCTAGGATAGAACATGCCCCAGTCCGGCAAGCATCAAAGGTAACCACTGTCTTGAGGCCCAGGCAAGGCCGAACTGAATTCATGTGATTAAGTGCTACTGAATTGATAGTCAGCTGCGGTGATGCTGGAATTGAGTACAATAATCCCCAGGGTGAGGAGGGTTCCAGGAGTTGCCTGAGGGAGGTGACCCCTGGGATCTAGACCAGGGTATGGACGTGGATACCTCAGGCTAAGGGGGAGGGGTACTGTGGCTGGAGGCCGAGCCATGGTGCTGCTGTGCTGCCCACTGAGCAGCTGTGGGTCCATCCCTCCAGCTCTTCGTGCCTCAGTGTATGCGTCTAACAGGGACGATGATTTGTGTAATGAGTGAACCCGTGCAAAGCACTAGGATGGTCTGGATAGTGCTCAGGGCACTGTGTACACACATCCTCCCTCTAACGTGCCCCCTACTCGCCTTGCAGGTATCTGAGCCTGTCACCTGACGGTGCTCCTCCCCTGCCCCAAACCTCTGTAAGACAGGTCAGGAGCATGTGGTCTCTGCCGCCCAGGCTTCCACGCCCCTCTAGAAGCTTAGCCAGCTGCTTGCTGGAGTGGCGGTGGTGCTTGTCACCCCCACAAATCAAGAGACACAATTCAGCATGGCTATTAAGCAGCAATAGAAACACGCCTTTTCTTCTCAGTGTGAACATTAATTACTGCTCAGAAGCTGTGTTCAGAGGGCTGCCTGTCTCCCACTGCTCAAACAAAGGCATGAAAATTCATGAGCAGGGGACCTTGCTGCTGGGGTCTGCTACTCCTAGTGATCAACTCAGCATCTGGGCCTGGAGGTGAGGGGGCGGGGGCGTCCGGCCCCACGAGTCCACAGGCCAGGCAGGGGCACAGGGATGAAGGGCAGTCCTGGTGGTCTGGCTCTCCAGCGTCCTCACTCCAGCCAGGGCAGGACCGTGGTGGCGGAGGTGGCAAGTGTGGGGTGGTTTCTTCCCATGTAAGAGACACTGTTGCCTACGGGGTCAGCACAGGGCCCCTGCAGAGGTCCGAGAAGCATACCAAGCACCACGAAGAAGCCAGCAACATCAAACACAGCAGGACTAAGGCTGGGCAGGAAGGAGCTGGCATATTCCACTCAGCCTTGCCTGTACCCAGGCAAGGGGGGCCTGAGCCCCTGGCACATCCAGTGCTCAAGCCCCTGCTGGGCCGTGCCCGTGGGGCTGAGGGGTGCAGATGCTCCACCCTCTACACGAACAGGGATTTCCTAACGAGTACAAGGCCACCCAGGAGAGCTTGTACAGCCCCTTTGTGTGTAGCAGTACCTTAGTGTGCCTGCCACGAGCCCACGTACCCGGACGTGTGTGCCACGTCCAGGCCTCGGCATCTCGCTATCAAGGGCTTCTCCCTGCACGTCCTCCCCGCGTCCCGCTGAGCACTCTCCTGACTGCCACAGCCTCGTGGGGGACACAGGTGCACTCCAGCTCCCGAATGGCCTGGTGGAGTGACACTGGAAGGAGCAAGGGCCACAGTCGCCCCTGTCCCAGGAGATCCACAAGCCATGAGGTGCTCACCTTCGTTTGTGCAACAAATGCTCAGCCTCCAAGTGCAGCGCTAAGACAGCTAGGGTTTTACTACAAGGGTGTGAGGGTGATCTGGCTCGACCTGGCCGGCAAGGCGGGTTCCTCTTTCTCCCTCACCACTCTCTGTGCGTCCGTCCCACAGCTGCGCTGCTAGCCGAGGGCAAGCTCTCAAGATGCTCTGATAACCAGCCTGGGAGGTCATCGCAATACCCACTTTTTGTCTTTCTACATATGCCTGATGTGTAAACTAGTATTGCAAGGAGCACATGGCTTCCACACCTCTGCTTCCTGCCAGGCCACAATGTCAACCACTGTAGTGAGGTTGGGGGACAATGTGTTTACTCTCTGCAGCTGGGGCATGCTGCCCATGACTGCTGCTGGCCTCATGTACAGCCCCCCTGTCTGGCGCTGGCCCCAGGGCTTATGACCATCCTGGGCAGGGAAGCCAGAAGCTATGCTGGAGTTGCAGGGCTGAGGATCCTGACTCATACTTAATGGAGAGGTGTCTCCACTCCGAGAGCCTTGTCTTGAGAACAGACACAACACCTGCTAGCTGGGGCCTTGGGCTGCACTTATGGACTTACATTAGGTCAGCTCCTAGCATGCTCTGGGCTGTGTGATGCTGGTGCTGTGGCCATATGCACTTGGCACTGCTGGCTCACCTCATAGGTAAAAGGACGCCCAGCAGTTAGGGATTTGCTGTGGACAGATCACTGGCAATAGGCCTAGTGGCGGTGGGTTGAGGGAGCCCTCTGGAGGCCAGGGGATGGCCCCTGGAGGGGACAGCACTGCTGACAGCCCCTCCCAGGTTCTGTGAGCCCAGAGGAGGTAGTTCTGAAGCTATGCGGCGGCTAAGCAGAGGCCACGGGCGCTCAGGCAGGACGGCTCCCCAGATAGGGTGAGAGCAGCTCCACAGACTAACCAGGACCCCAGTCCCACATGGCACCCAGGACTCCAGACCTCTGCCTCTCATGCTTTCACACAGGGGTCAAGACAGGGGTCCTGACTGAACATGGTGGACAGAGGTTCACCTGAGGAGCAGCAGATGAGGGACACAGGAGACATGGAGGGGGAGGCAGTGGACAGTGAAGACTGGTCAGAAGGGAAGAGATGGATGTGGCCTGAGACGAAGGGTAGGGGCAGGGCCAGCGAGGATGTCAGGTGCAGGTGCCTCTGCTGCTGGGAGGGAAGGGAGAGATGGGCTCTGCGCATGACCAGGTGTGGGGCTCAGAAGAGATGGAGTCCGCTGACCGGGGGGGGAGCGGTTTGGGGGAGGGAGGGAAGGGAGAGATGGGCTCTGCGCATGACCAGGTGTGAGGCTCAGAAGAGATGGAGTCCGCTGACCGGGGGGGGGAGAGGAGCTGGGGGAGGGAGGGAAGGGAGAGATGGGCTCTGCGCATGACCAGGTGTGGGGCTCAGAAGAGATGGAGTCCGCTGACCGAGCGGAGGAGGAGCGGTTTGGGGGAGGGCAGAGCCACAGGGAGGCCATCTGGACCCTTCCCGAGAAGCCCTGGCGGCACACTTGACCTCCATGTCTTTCTCCCTCCCTCTCTGCATTGCTCTGTGTGTCACACGAACCCAGAAGAGGCCACATGCACCACTCAAGGCCCACCTCAAACTGACCTGGTCACCGATGAGGAAACTGAGACATAAAGGATGGGGGGAGGCTCACTGGGCAAAGCTAAGAGGTTGGCTGAGTATTTTAGAGTCCTAGATCTAGGCTGGAATTTGGGGTTAAACCCTCAATGTCTACAGCCATTAAAATTGCACCTGATTAATTACGC